CATTCTGATGTCTAAGAATTCTGAAAGAGCTCGTATGCAATCTTCTGTTGATGATGACTGATTTTTATGGTTCTTGAAATGCAAATGTTTTTTTCCCCTCCATATTCTTTTTATTTTTTCGGAATGTTCAATTTTACTTTAAATTTGATATGCTGGCCAAAATCTGTGCTGGAGATCATCAATTAGGATCTTAGACAAAGTGTTTAAAGGCAAATGCGCAACTCAAGATGTTTTACCCCTCATGATGCGAGGCGTAAGCCTTAAGACGTGGAGGCGTAAGCATTTTGAATTTCAAATTTAATATTTAGTGAATAAGTTAAATATTTTAAAATAGTAAAAATAAATAAATATAAAGGTGTAAATACTTTTCTCCTTAAGGTATTGAACATTTCACTGCAAAAAATGAAGTTTGCTTTCGTTGAAAGTGAAATTAATATCCTTAGTTTTAGTGATTGAGCTTCTCACTTGAGAATTAGGTGTGTTTTTTCTTGATTGATTATTTACTTAATTTTTCCTTTACAATCCGCAAAATGGAGGTTTTTTATTTTTTATTTTTTTTATTTTTTATGTTTAAACAAATCTGCTAAACTAAGTTTAACAAAAACCCAAGGCAACCTCTTCATAAGTGTACTTTTCGTATGCTTATGCTCAAAAGGTGTACAAGACGCACCGAAGGCACATGTTTCAAACTGTTATGCACTAGCCTTTGGGGAGTAAAGCCTAAAAATCAAAGCCTTGATGTGTTTTACCTGAGCCTCAAGGCGAGGCGAGTCCCAGTAAAACCTTTTAAAACTTTGGTCCCAGATATTTTTGTCTGAAACTACTAGTTGGTGCTTCTACACCATGCTTCTGTCTATATTTCACTACGAATAATTTTTCATCTGCTAGAGTTTCATATTACTAGGAGATTTCTAGAATCATTTTTATACGATTCGTAGATTGCAATCACAGCGTTGTCTAACATGAAACTATCATTGATGACTTCGTCAGTTGAGCATTTGAAGTTCTGGGCATGATTTGGATACTGTTTGCTGCAAAATAATAAATAGTATTCTTAGGGACATCAACTTCCCAATATATGTGTGCTCGTGTTAAAACTTTTGGGCAGTTGAAGTAGATGTAAATTTTACACATTTTGAAGCTGTTGAGGGGCGCAGTTGTGTTACATTAGTGTTGGGACATGAGTTGCAAGGAGTAATAAGGTAAGTACAATGGCTAGTTGTTAAAATTAATGTATAGATTACAAGATTGATTGTATTGATGTTATTACAAGATTGTTATTACATTTCCTATACAATCTATATATAGAAGAAAATGTGGTAGTAGGTGTAGTGATAGTGGAGGTGGATGGTAGTGGAGTGTGTGATAGTGGAGGTGGTAGGTGTGGAGAAATTCTAACAGCCCCCCGCAAACTCAAGGAGGATAGAAACTAACCAACTTGAGTTTGAAGAGAGGAACAAAACAAGAAAATACATAAAAATAAAAATAAAAAAGATAGGAGACACTGTATGGTCGTGTCAGACCATTGGTGAAAACACTGAAAGGTGGTGCCATAACGTGGTAGAGGACACTGGATGGTGGTGTCATAACATTGTAGAGGACACGGATGGTGGTGCCATAACGGTGTAGAGGACACTGAAGGGGGTGTCATAACGGTGTAGAGGACACTGGATGGGGGTGTCATAACGGTGTAGAGGACACTGGATGCTAACCGGAATCAATGTCGGGACAGTTTATAGGGTCATGTCGGACCGTTGAAAAGGTTGCACCCTCAAAAGGTGTGCCCAATTTTGTCAAAAGGCGTGCCATCAAAAGGCGTGCCCACTTTATCAAAAGATGTGCCATGAAAAGGCGTGCCAGGTTTGTCGGGCGTCAAGAGGCGCGCGATGCGCGTGGCTGCCTCGGCTATTTAACCAAGTAGGAGCCTGAGGCCGAGGCAGAGGCAAAAAACCTGCGAAAACCTCTGAAAAATTCTGCCGTGTCTGAGAGAGATTTCTGAGAGAGATTCTGTAACACTCTGTTGTCTGAGAGAATGGCTTCATCGTCTTCCCGCGGGCTGCTCACCCTCTTTCCCGACCTCAACGAGTCAACGAGAGAGAGAACTGGTGCGGTGGCACTGGAAACTCAACCAAGCGCCCCGGAGTTTACTCCGTTGAACTTTCCGATGCGGTCTGTGGAGCAAAGAATGGCAGTGCTGTCAGATGTGGAGGCCAATCAGTATACTCTGAAGGCATGTGTGGAAAGCATGACGGCGGTCACAAATTTGTCGAACCGGCTGCAGAGTAGGACAAATGAGGTGCAATAAATGAAATAAAGTTATTAAAAATTATTCAAATTACTTATAAAACAAATAAATAAATAAACTTTAGGGTTAAAACAAATAAATAAATAAAGTTTTATTTTATGTATGTTCTATTAAGTTGTCTTTTGTTTTAAGTTTTATTTTTATGTATGCTACATTACTAAAAATGCTTGAAGTTTTATTTTATGTATGTTCTATTACTAAAAATTGTTGAAGTTTTATTTTTGTGTATTCTACATTACTAAAAATTGTGGAAAAAAATATTTTTTATGAACGTATCCCCGCCGTATCCGTATCCTACTTTTTCGAATTTTGCCGTATCGCCGTGTCCGTATCGTGTCGTATCCGTATCCCGTATCCGTATCCGTGCTTCCTAGGTGGAAAGTCTCCTATAGAGGGTTTCCCTCTTTAGAATGATACTAAGTTGGTTATACCTAACTTTGTGTTTTTCTACTTATCTCAAATCCAGGGTAAGGCAAAGGGCGGTGTGTCAAGAGAGTTTGCTAAAAGACTGTCCCCCGGGATCCACCACAGGTTGGGTTTGAGAGCCGTGTGATGGGTGACTAGTTGAATTGTTTATGCGCGCATAGATGCAATTTCCATGACTTGACCATATGTGGAGCTCTCGAATCTAGGGGAGGAGTCTAGTAAAATTTCACTTGGATCATTTTTGTAATATTTGACATTTCTTCTTGATGAAGGAAACTTTTTGACTTCTCCTTATGCAGGAAAAGCTGAGCTCAAATGGTGATTTTAACTTGTCAAGAGACTTGTGGATGCATTATGCATTTACATTTGTATATCCAGACACATATACATCCCTAGAAGTACTTTTGAATTAGCTATGCTTTACAAAATTTAGGGTGATATTTTTTTTTCTTCTTTTCTTTTGATGAATAAGTGTTTTATTACAAGAAGGTTTCTGAGATTTTGGATGTTCTTTTTTTTTTTTTTTTTAGGCTGCAAAAAGATGCCTTTCAAAAAAAAAAATGCCTTGTTCTCCCTAACCTCTCTCCCCCCCAAACCGAGAGAGAGAAAAAAAATGCATATCAGTTTGGTGTAGCAGGATGCAGTACCAGCCGATTATGGCAGGCCTCATCAAGAAGCTCCTGAGCTGCTGTCAAGGACTTAGAGTCCAACAACACACGCTGAACTCCATGAACACCGTTCGAAATCCCCGATGCTAACGACGGTGACCCGCCCGAGACCCGGATATCCTCTCCGGTAACCGGTGGAATTGTCGGTGCAGAAACGTGGGTGGTCTGTTGAGAAGACAGGCTGAGAGACAGACCTTGAGGAGCGCAGGGAATGTCACGCGCCACCGTGGGGTCAAGTAAACTATACATATGGAAGCCGTGGAGTGCCGAGATGTCTTGGGAGTAGGCGGAGCCGCCGGCGGAAGTCACGACCGGAAGCGGGATGCCAACGAACTGTTGGGTTTGGGTGGGCGGTCGCGTGGGGGAGAGTTTGTGGGTTGAAAGAGTTTCCGGAGCAGCGGTGGAGTTGAGGAAAACGAAGTTTCCCGGTGGCGGCTGATGGTGTGTTGAGCCTTGTGTGTGAAGAATTGGTGCAAGAATGGAATTTGTGGCAGCGGACTAGGTTGAGGTCCGGCGGGCGGCCAAGCCGAGGTTGCCACCCGCCGGTGAAGCGAAAAATACTAAATTCTTAACCTCGCTCTGATACCATGTTAAAATTAATGTATAGATTACAAGATTGATTGTATTGATGTTATTACAAGATTGTTATTACATTTCCTATACAATCTATATATAGAAGAAAATGTGGTAGTAGGTGTAGTGATAGTGGAGGTGGATGGTAGTGGAGTGTGTGATAGTGGAGGTGGTAGGTGTGGAGAAAGATAGTGGAGGTGGTAGGTGTGGAGAAATTCTAACACTAGTGACTAGAAATTTGAAGTGGTGAGAAGTTGCATGTCTAAGAGCTGATGGGTCTAAGGGTGTGATTGGGCCATAATCTGATTTGTGCATGTGTAACTTTTTCTCATTGTTGATATATCCTGTTTCTTCTTTAGTTTTCCTGAAACAGTGGAAAGTGGATGGTAGCATTATTTTTTGGATGAGGGTTTTGAATTTCAAAAGACTTGGAATGTGATGTGTACATATTTTGCTGCAGTTTGAGAAAAGAATTGTGTTTCATGGTTCTGCTGTTTGTTTTCTTTTGGTACATGTAAGAACTTGGTTCCTACACTTGAACACCTCTAACATGTCCTTATACCCCAAACATCAGTTAAGCTAGTGTGCTCTTGTTTGATTTTCTTTTATTTCACTCCATCATTTGTCAATGTTATATGTTTTATTTTGTTATGGCATATTTGGATTGGTACCTAGTTAAATTGTGAGCATAAATTTCTTCAATTTCTTCTGCAAATGCTTTGTTCCTTCGGCTTTCCAGATCTCTGTATCTTATTCAACCATTTCCATTTGTTAGCTTACATGGGTTGATATTACGTTTTTTGTCATTGTATTCTTGTATGTTTGCTACTCTTAACTGCTGTGTTTGTGACAAACTGACAACCATGAGCACCTCCATTGTATAATCAGGAACTGGATCTGAAGCAGCAACTTCTTCATTCATTTTCCATCTGTTTCTTATTGATCAACAGTGTCATTTATTTAAATAGATCAAGTAAAAAGTTGCTAACTTACGCTTTTTTTCTTCCCTTCTTTATCGCATTGATTAGTCTGTAAGGCTGTCTCGTCTATGTGGCGGTCAGCAGGAGCTTCAACCACGTTGGCCCGCTGGTACGCCACAATGGGGACCCCGAGGACAACATCCTGCGCAGCCAACAGAGTATGATTATGATTATCCGCAACGAGGGCCATATTGTTCTCAGAATTCACAGTATCCTCCTCAATCGTACAGTAATTATCAGCCGCAACAAGTGGCTTCAAGAAACAAATTTGGTCCGGGATGGGTCCAAAGGCCTCCAGCTACAATGCAAGGTCCCCCACCCCAAAGTGGTGGCTATGACTATTATGGCAGACAGGGTCATATGGTTGATGCACCGTCATCTAATCCTGTTCTTGGTCCTGGCCCTTCCCATACTGCTATGGGCCCACCTCCTTCACAGGGAAATTACAATTACAGACAGCCACATGGTCCAGAGTATCAGCAAGCTCCATATTCCCAATCTGCACCTCCTCAGAGTTACGGCCATGGATACAATGAAACAAAATATGAAAACCAGGCTCCGAGTCATCATTCCTATGGAGAAGATTCACAGTCAGGAGGCTATTCTCAAGGCACTCATTCAGGCTATACTCACCAGGCACCATCTTATGGCATGCCACCACATGGACCTCCTTCCCAAGTCTATGGCCAGCACCGAGCTAGTCAACCAGGTGATATGCCTTATCAAGGTCCCATCTCATCGACCCAATCTCCTTCTGGTCAAAATGTGCCACCTCAGCAGACATCCCCCTATGCGTCAAGTGGGCCCACACAGCAAACTTATCAACTCCCATATGGTTCTGCATCTGTTACTGATGGTTATAATCAGCCGCCACCTGCTGCTGCATCTTCCCAGCAAGGTGGTCAGCCAGTTTTAGGTTATGGTCAGGCTGCAGGAGGACAACCAGCAAGATTGAAGTAGATGATGTTCCTTTCTCCTATGAAATGCTTGCTAGATTGAAGCATCCATCCTTTTATTAAGGTTTTGTTTTTAAAGACTTGTCTGTTTAGAACTTTGTTATACTGTTCCAGTTCAAGGGGATATTCTATGTGAATCTCACGTTACAAGAAATTAAAGTTTTAGAGACAAAAATAATTTGTCTGTAAAAATTATACTTTCAAAGACAAAATGAAAGAATTTTTAAAGAAGTATATTTAATCATACTACTACATTTTAAAGACAAACCTATTTGGTTGCAAAAAGATTTGTAACTTTTTACCAACAACTTTAATTGGTCCCCAATAAGCTAACTCATATATTATTTTATTTTATTTTCATTGTTTTTTGAGCTTCAATAGCCGGGATGGGATTTCATTTCATTCTCCACACCACACTACACTACTGTCTCTCTCGATCGATCGAATCTCTAAATCTCGATCGATCGTATCTTAGCTTGATTCTTCGAAGCTGAAAGATTTGGAATATACTTGAATCGCCATTGAAGAGAGATAGGTCGATTTTAAGGTAAAATATTCGTATCCATAAACTCATGAATGTTTACAAGAACACATTCTACAATGTGCTTAACTATGTTTCTGTTATTGTTATGGCTTTGCTCTGTCAAATTCCTTGCAAATTGTTCATCTCTCTCTTTCTGTGTGTTTTGTTTTGTGTTTTTCTTTTGTGATTGTGGCTATTGAGTTGGATCTGGTTCCCTTCTCTAGCATTTGATCTCCTTCCCAATTTTACTTGAATATTCAGAATGTTTGAATAATTGATATTTGTTTCATTCAATAGATCTGATGAATCTTAGGATATTAATATGATTGGTTTTTAAAGCAATATCTTGCTATATCACCAAAATTTTTTTTTTTTTTTAACAGATTGTTAATCTGTGGTACAATGCAGAAAAGACTGTTAGATCAACTCATGACTAAAACTGCTTGATTATTGTATGCATATAAGTTGTTTGATGAAATGCTTATATGAGTTGTCCTTTTGGAGCTAGTAATTATAGGGTCTCTGAAAGATCATATAGGTCATTTGGCACTGGTCATAGCTCTTTTCCTAATTCTTTTGATGGGTATGAGAAGCGTGGTGATGATGATATGCATTCTTTCTTTCTTTGTTTATTAAAATTTGGTGTATTTTTTTTTTTAATTTTTATTTTTAAGACATTCTAATCTAGAAGGGTCTAAAATTAAACAATATCAAAAGAAATTTAAAAATTCACAAATAAAAAGAAATTGAAAAAGAATGTGACTAATTCCCAAACAACCACAACAATTGGATACTATTAGCTATTGGCATGGATGTCTTAAATTTGTTCGCCAAAATGAAAGAAGATTTTGGTCCTATTAATTACATGAATGAAAATGAAAATCTCAGTTTAAAACAGAGGTTTTTTTAAGCTATTAAAGTGCAAAACTATTCTCACCTTTTCTTTTAAACATAACACAAAGAAAGTAATAAGCTATTAACATTTTTATTAGTGAAGCTTTGTGGTAATTCTGGCCAGTTAGAGGTTTTTGTCCAGTTTGCATGTTTTTGGGTGTTTTTAGGTTTCCAAGTTGATTGTCATAGTTTCCTGTGACAAGTTTGCTATTTAACTAAATTCATTCTCTGTTTCTTTGTTTATCAAAATTCATAAATTATGTAATGTGTGAAATTTTCCTTACCTTCAGCACAGGGGTTTTGTGCTGACTTAATTGATTTGTTGTTCTCATTCTTAGGCTCTCAAATATTCTTTAGATTTGTTATTTTGTTTTGACAAATTGTTGGTAACATATGTCATAATTCTTAACTTACAGAGTTCTGATTTAGACCACTAATACACCATCACTAAAAGCAACACTAATTATATGACAGTATAAGGAAAAAAACAAAAAGCAAAGGCCAAACTATCACATCAGTGTGGTGTCCACATTTCACCACGTCATTAGTGGTCGGTTTAGTGATACTAAATTAGTGGTATGAAGCATTTTTGTAACTTACATGTTTACCAGTTTCATGATATTTGTATTTCTCGAGCATAGATTGAAAGAGTAGATATTGGAAAGGCATTTAAGATTAATAAAGTCTAATCTGGCTTAATATTTGAATAATGAACTCTATATGTGAAGGCATCTTGTATTAATAATTTCTTATGGGTATATTGTGAATTAGTCACTCCAATTTTACTTTAATTTTCAATGTCATATTCGAACTTTTTTTTAATTATTTAAATCTTCTTTCTTTTTGGTTTAAATATGAGAAAAGAACATGGATAGTGAAAATTATTATTAGTTTTAAATGAAATTATTTTCAATTTAGGATAAAATGATAATTTATTCAAAGGGGCATCTATCTTTGATTTCTTTTTCCTTTTTTCTACTCATTTGTTAATCTTTTTATTTTTTTTTATGTAGTTTAAATTCTAAAATTAGGTCAATTAAGTAGCACATAATAATAACATTATAGTTTTTTTCACATCTAATAATGCATTGGACTATATTGACTTAATTATGAAAATTGAAGGGCTTAAATAGAAAATTAATAGTTTGTATTTCACTGTTAGTGTATATTAATGTATGGTTACTTTAGTGCTAGTGCGGTTAGCCTTTCGGCTATATGTAATAATAGTGCTTCGGCTACTCTCAGACTCTCTCCTCTATAAAGGAGCAAAACTAACATTTGAATATATAACATTTAATACATATAATTTATTTTATCTCATTTTCTATATATTATTCTAACATGATATCAAATCTATAAATTAAGTTCTTGATATTCTTTATCTTCCGGCGGGTTGCAACCTTGTCTTGACCGTCCGCTAGACCTCAACCAATTGAAACCTTCATCAACTCCAGCAAGACACCTCTCACCCTTTCTCTCTCTCTGATAGACACCCTCTCTCTCTCTCTCTCTGGTGCATGGCAAAGGGAGCATTATTTGTTTTTTTTGGAGCTAAACAAAGACATGAACATGGAGGCAACAGACCACTACAACTGATCTCTCTCTCTCTTGCTGGGCTATCACACACAGAAGGCACATGGCGAGAGGGACACCACCACCTGGAGCTTGACAACCCGAAAAACAACACCACTACAGCTAGCTCTCTCTCTCTCAACCTAAAACCTCTCTCTCTCTCGGTGTGCATGGAGGAGAATAGCAGCTGGGCTAACAGAAAAACACAAAAGACACACAGCAGCGGCATCACCAACTCTCTCTCTCTCTCTCTCTCTCTCAGGTACTGTCTTCGAAGAGCTAAAATCTCTGTATCAACACACTCTATTCTTTGTCAATCACTCTAACATATGGGTGAGAACAACACTGCTACCAAGAACCAGAATCATCTTAGCCACACCATGCTATGGACATCTCTGCCGGCGGCTCTAAATGCTTTGATGACGATGGCCGCCTCAAACGGACAGGGACTCGGAGTTGCCATTGGGTACACCATTGCATCTTCCATAAGCATGATGGCAATCAAGACGTCTAATTGCTTCCATGCAAATCCATGTTCATTTTTGGTGTTGATGAAATCATTTTCTCTCAAATTCCGGATTTCGATCAGATTTCTTGGCTTTCAATTGTTGCCGCGGTCATGTTGCGCATCCAGAAGAGTACTCGGACGGAAAGGAAGCCGACGCCTCCTGAGTAAACTCGTCAATTGATCTCTCTCTCTACTCAAGGACACCATCCAAAACATCTTCACTCAGCCTCAACAAAAGCAGACTCCAAACCCACCACTATGTCAACTTTCCAACCCATCATCCACCACCTTTTGCACACACGCATATCCACCGACTTTTGTCCCCCCCTTCCTTTTTTTTTTTTCACCCAGAGAGATATGATATCCCTTTTTATTTTTAAAACAATCTTCACCTTTTGCAACCCACTCACCGACTCCCTCAAAACAAAATAGAATCATCATCTAACTTTGCCACCCCTCTGATAATTATCCAACTAACACTCTACCATAGGTCCCTGACTCTTTTCTTTTAAAACTCATCCTTTCTCTTTTTTTTTTTCTTTTTTTTCTTTTTTTTTTCTTTTTTTTTACATCTCCTCCTCCACCAAAGACATAATCATCATGCTGACCATACACCATCCTCTAAAATAATAATTCTCCACACACTCACAATTTGACCCATTCTTATTATTATTATTATTATTTTTATATTTTTTTCTTTTTCATTCCACCGTTTCAGAACCCAACAGTCTGATCTCACTACCCCCACTTTCTCTTTATTTTAACCATCATTTCTTTCACTTTTCACCACCTTTATTTTGTTCTCTTCCTGACCCATCTTTTTATATCCCCAACATGGACAACCGACTCAAAATAATATATATATTATCCCAACTTTCATCATCAATTAGTTTCATGTATAGCGAGAGAGAATAAATTGTATGTATTTAATGTTGTACATTCAATTTTTAGAGAAGACTCCTTTATAGGGGAGAGTGTGTACAGAGGGGCCAAAAGTGGCCGAGAGAGAAGGGACAGCGCTACAGCACTACAGCATAATATAATATACGCACACTAACACGGCACTACAACACTGTAATATACTAACAGGCCCCCTCAAACTCAAGGAGGATAGGTACCAACCAACTTGAGTTTGGAGAGAGTAACAAAACGTGAAAATAAATTGACAAATAAAATAAAATAGGATAAGAGACACTGTATGATCGTGTCAGACCGTTATAGAAGATACTGTATGGTCGTGTCGGACCATTGATGAAGACATTGTATGGTCGTGTCGGACTGCTGTAGAAGACACTGTGTGGTCGTGTCAGACTGTTGTAGAGGACACTGTATAGTCGTGTCAGACTGCTGTTAAAGACACTATATGGTCGTGTCGGACCGCTGTAGAAGACACTGTGTGGTTGTGTCAGACTGTTGTAAGAGTTAGCCAAAATCAATATTGGGACAGTTTACGAGGGCATGCCGGACCGTTGTAGCAGACACTGTGTGGTCGTGTCAGACCGTTGTAGAAGACACGGTGAGGTGGTGTCGAACCGTTGGAGAAGACACTATATGGTCATGCCAGACCAGTGTTGTTGTATGGGTGTGTATATAGGCTATCCAAAGATATACATGTATATATATTACGCCCTCAAAAGTTGCGCCCAATTCATCAAAAGTTGCGTATGACACTGTGGCTTCGAGTGTTTCGCGATTCACGTGGCTCTCGCTCCCCGTTTGTCGTCTTTGTCACGTGGCTCTCGTTCCCATTTGTCGTCTTCGTTTTTTGGCTCTCTATTTAAATTGAGGCCGAGGCTGGATAGAGACAGTGCAAAACAAACCATTCTGAAATCTCGTCGTTCTTTGATAGCTGCAAACCCGTTCTGACATTCCCTGAAACACTTTGCTTCTCTGAAACACTCTGCAACCCCTAACATAACATGGCTCTTCTTTCTGTGGTCCGCTCACCCTTTTTTCAAACCTGAATGGGTCCATAATAGAGATAACCGGTTCTGTCGCCCTTGAATCGCAACCAACCACCCCTAGACCAAGCGCCTCTATTTTTGCTCCATTGAACTTTACGATGCTGTCAATTGAGTAAATAATGGCAGCTCAATCTGACATTGAGGCCAACCATTATACGCTGAAGTCATGTGTGGAGACCATGACTGCGGTCACTAACTTGTCTCACCGGCTGCAGAATAGGACAAGTGAGGTACAACAGTTAAATGCCCAACTCTCTCTACTGCAGCGCATGTACAAGGATGCGCGAGTAGAGCTTTGCGCGCTGAAAGCGGAGAATAAGGAGCTGAAATGGAAGGTCACCGTTATGGTCCGATTTGGGGGTTCGCCATACGCTACGTTTGAGAAGCAGCGGGGAGGCAACTTGCTCGGTGGACTTGGAAGCACTAAGGCAGGGCTGTCCAAAGGCACCCAAGAGGAAGAGATCGGCGGCTGAGTAGAGAAATAGAAAAGAAAAATTCCACCGGTGTGTGTGGTTGATGGTTATGGGTGTGGTTAGTTAGTTGTTGTTGTTGTTGTTGTTGTTTTTTAGTTAGTTGTTGTTGTTGTTTTTTTTTTTTTTTGTGTAGAACGGTGATCGGGGTTGATTCCTGATGTGAATAAAACAAGGTTTGTTATGCAAATTTGTATTTTTTTTATTTTTTTTTTTGGAATGGAAAAAGAAGATATAAAATAAAAGAAAGAATGACCCGTAAGAGACATGCCCAGGTGGGTTGAACTATTAAAAAAAAAAACTAGGTGGGTTGGAAAGTGGAAATAGGAGAGAGAGAATGAGTGGTGGGATTGTGAGAGTGGAGATGCTTTCAACATAATCAATTATCAGTCCATTGAATAAAAAATAAAAAGAAAGGCGTTGATGGTGGAGGAAAGTGGACGGATTGGCAAGTTGGTGATGTTTAAATGAAATAAAGAGTGTGCATATCTCTACTCGCGCATCCTTATACATGCGCTGGAGCAGAGCGAGTTGGGCATTTAACTGGTGCACCTCATTAGTTCTATTCTGCAGTCAGTGCGACAACTTGGAGATCGCAGTCACTGTCTCCAAGCACGACTTCAGCGTAAAATGGTTGGCTTCAATGTCCGTTTGTGCTGCCATTATTTGCTCCACTAATAGTATTGGAAAGTTCAACGGAGCAAAGGCAGTTGCACTCGGTCCAGGGGCACTTAGTTGCGCTTCAAGTGCGACAGAACCGGTTATCTCTATTGTGGACTCATTTAGATCTGGAAAAAGGGTGAGCGGACCACGGGAAGAAGAGGCCATGTTATGTTAGGGGTTGCAGAGTGTTTCAGAGAAGTAGAGTGTTTCAGGAAATGTCAGAAAGGGTTTGCAGCTCTCAACGAACGAAGAGATTTCAAAATGGTTTGTTTTGCACTGCCTCTATCCAGCCTCAGCCTCAATTTAAATAGAGAGTGAAGAGACGAAGACGACAAACGGGAGCGAAAGCCTGAATCGCGCGACACTCGAAGCCACAGTGTCATGCGCCACTTTTGATATATTGGGCACGACTTTTGAGGTACGACTTTTGAGGACACGATATATATATATATGTATATCTTTGGGCAACCTATATACACAAACATACAGTGTCTTCTACAATGGTCTAACACGACCACACAGTGTCTGCTATATCAGTCCGACATGACCTTGTAAATTGTCCCGACATTGATTCCGGTTAGCTCCTACAACGGTCCGACATGACCACACAGTGTCTTCAATAACGGTCTGACACGACCATACAGTATCTTCTACAGCGGTCTGACACGACCATACAGTGTCTCCTACAACGGTCTGACACGGCCACACAGTGTCTTCTACAGCGGTCTGACACGACTATATAGTGTCTGATACAGCGGTCTGACATGACCATACAGTGTTTTCTGCAACGGTCTGACATGACCATATAGTGTCTCCTACAGCGGTCTGACATGACCACACAATGTCTTCTACAGCGGTCTGACACAACCATACAGATTCTTCTATAGCGGTCTGACACAACCACACAGTGTCTTTTACAGCGATCTGACACGACCATACAGTATCTCCTATCCTATTTTATTTTATGTATTAGTTTATTTTCATGTTTTTGTTACTCCTTCCAAACTCAAGTTGGTTTGTACCTATCCTCCTTGAGCTTGAGAGGGGATGTTAGTGTATATTAATGTATGCTTACTTTAGTGCTAGTGCTGTTAGCCTTTCGACTGTATGTAATAATAGTGTTTCGGCTACTCTCAGACTCTCTCCTTTATAAAGGAGAAAAACTCCGAACATTTGAATATACAACATTCAATACATATGATTTATTTTCTCTCATTCTCTATACATTATTCTAACATTTACAATAAAAAGTTTAAAGGTTGGATTGAGAACTAAATAAAAGTTGGAAACTTAGAAAGACTAATGATATCTTGTCAAAAAACAATAAATAGAGCAAAATGATTCTACATACAACCTTGGGAGTGTAAATGGTGAAACAATAGTGAGAAAAACAATATGGTAATGTTTGGTAGAATTTTCTAAATATGATTTGAGAATAAAGTTGTATTTTGAATTTGTAGGTTTTGGAATTATGATTTGAGTGTGGAAATTTTGTTTGGTTATGAGTTTTGAAAAGAGTTTTATAGGGAGTTTTAAGTTTTTGGAGTTTTAAGTTTTTGAAATTAGAAAAGTTATTTGATTCAAAAATTTATAACTCATAACCAAACACACAACCCAAAATTCTATTCAAAGCTCATATAAAAATAAAAAAAAATTCTAAAAATATTTTTTTATTTATAATATAAAAATAACAGGTGCAAAAAAAAAAAAAAAAAAAAAAAAAAAAAAAAAAAACTGTTCCGGTCAACCGCCCAGACGTTTGGGGGACATCCGGGAGGATGATCGGGTTAGCCAAATTTTCCCCCTGGAAAGGAGTTTTCAAAAGTAAGTATGGAATTATAATTTGAAAATTCAAAATAAACACCACACTCAAATCAGTGGGTAGAAATGTGTTTGGAACACCTAACCAAACACAGCCTAAATGTTTCTGGTGCATCCATCGAAGTGGATGTCTGAGTTGATGCATCTTGAATAGTGAGAATGCAAGAAACAGTAAATGTTTCATGCAAGCTTATGTGGTAGTTCCTTGGATCTTGAATTAGCAAATTTGTTTTTTAAATCGAATTGCTTCCATGAAATTTTAATAAATGTATCAGAATTTTTTTTACCTTGTGATAATCTGAATAGGCTTGGGAATTCCTCTTACCTTATACTCTGACTTATGCATTTAATAATAGGTGAGATGTGGCAAGAATAAGTTGAATAGGGAGAAGTTAAAAGTCTTCCACACTGTTGGCTCGAAGGCCTTCAGAAAAGTGCAATATGATGAGGTATTAATTATAGAATCTATAATTTATGTTTTGCGATTGTAATTGAACAACGTAATCTATATTGAGGTTTAATGTGTGCTATAAATGGCATAGCGAGACCGTGCCACTGGAGAGGAACTTGGACTTGTTGAGTTGTACAAAAAGACGCATTTTAGTGAGAAAAAAGAGGCATGGGTGCATGCTGATATTGAGATTAGACATGTAAGACATCAATCTTTATGTACTTTCATTCCTTATATCCTTAATAAGATGTTGATGTTAGTTTTATCTCAACTAATGAATATTGTAGTACAAGCTTGAAAAGCGGTCGGAGAAAGCTATTGAAGATGGATCTTACCCGCTATTTGATAAACAACTTTCTATTGGGGTATTTGGACAAAAAGTTAGCTACATACGAGGCTTAGGGCGTGGTTGAAAACCAAGTACAACATTATCTAGAAAACGTACCCGTGCCCAACTTGAGAGGGATAATGAGGCTGCTACAAGGGAGACTAAAGAGCAACAAAGAATCAATGAGGAGCTGGTGGAAATAATTCAAATCTTAGAGTCCGGTTGCACGGAATACAATGCCAAAATTGACTTCTTGATGTAGCAAATTAGTCGAAGAGGACCCTCTACTGATTCTTCTTCTTAGTAAGTCATCTTTTGAAATCTACATTTGTTTCCTTTGTGGGTTTCTATACTATTTTCATGAGTATGCACTAAATATTGTTTTATCCATTTTGTTGATCATGAATTCATAGCTTAGCATCAATAATTGTATTCCAAAGAGTCAATAAGGCTTTAACTCAGACACAACACATAGCTTCCCCTGAATGAAAAAAGTTTGGTCTAAAAGCTTATGAATTATGTTGAATTATGTTGTTTGAAATGGCAATAAGGCTAAAAGCTTATCAATTATCAGTAAGGCTTGTGAATTTTGTTGTTTGAAATGGAAATAAGAGAGATGATAGGGACCTCAAATTTAGTTAATTTGTTGGGTAAATGTGACTGGGTCATGAAAACAAAATCACCCTAAAAGCTTTAGGTGATTCTTTCTTTTCTTTTATTTTCTTTTTTGGGTTTTATTTATTGTGCGTTTGTGGTGTATTTGCAGTTCATTTCTTGGTCATACCAAAACAGGCACAGTTGCACAGAGATATAATGATTTAATGTTTTGGTTAATGGGTATGAAATATGATTGCTGCATATGGAATGAGTATAGAAACTTCGAGTAGATAATAGATATAGAAGGGGATGTGTTCAGAAATGGAAAATGAAGTTTTTAATGTGGTTTAGCTTAGTACATATGTGAATTGTCTGGTTATATTTCCTTTACTTTGTCTTATTGTCTTGTTAATGTTGTGGTCATGATGTGGCAGATTGAAATTTAAATGTGCACTTTGAAGGCTTGGGAGCTCTTTGCGAGATTTTGAATGACATTTCAATGAAGCCCTTGGGAAGAAGATGTGATGGATGAGTAGTTCTGTTTTGTAGGTAGCCTTATAAATTGGAAACAATGCTTATGGCACTAGCCTTATAAATTGAATAGTTGAATGCTACAAACAATACTTATGGCACTATCCTTGTAAATTGGTAATGATACTTTTGAAATCTCTATCAGTTTATGATATACAATCAAATATTACGTATTAATGAATCAAAGCATGGTATTTGTTTATCATTGAAATATCTTTTGATTAGGTCTCTTTAAATATGATGAGCATGGTGCTTTTCTTTTTTTTCTTTTTTTGGTGTTGTTAAATTTTAATTTGGAGTTGAACAGATGGTCTGGTGATATGTTTGATATTTTCTGTTTCGTTGTTGAGAAATCAAGAAAGGAATATGAGTTTCTGTTCAAACTAGTATTTTTAGAGTAATTGTTACAAAATCAAAAAGCAAAAAAAAATATATATATATATATATTATCAAACTTTGAGAGACCAATTTTAGTTGTTTGAAAAAACATTATAACTTTTGCAGACGACTTTTAGTTGTCTGGAAAACTAAAACTTTTAGACACAACTTCCACTTGCCTCAAAAACTAAAACTTTTAGAAACCAATTTGGGTTGTCTCAAAAACTAAATTTTTTATCTCCGTAAATACACTGTATGTCGTAGGTTGTAATAGATTTTTAGAGACAAAATTTGATTGTCTCAAAATCAAAATTTTTTGTAACCACATATTTTTGTCTCTAAAAATCTATTTACGACAAATGTAAAATTTTGTCTCTAAAAGTCAATTTTTGACTTTTTTGACGGTCCATTTGAGACAAATTTCACGACAGACAAAATTAGTTAGCTAAAGTTTTTCTTAACAAATATTTATATATTTTTAGGAACGAAATAAATTTATTCCTAAAAAGCTGATTTCGTGTAGTGTGATATGACTTCCCACCTTCTCATTCCATGAAGCTACATATGTTATATGTTTGTTTAGTGCAGTGTGTTGCTTTTTTAGGGTTAATTTTTTTTTCTTCATATATATAAATAAATTGGTAGTCTTTGTTTATGTGTTTTTTGGTCATCTCCTGGGTCTTACTGGAAGCCAAGAAGCTGGTAGTTTCTATTTCTACACTATTTTGTCTCAATTTTTTCTGTTTGTGTCGTTCCAATATTAATTTCTGAATAAAAGTAAAGTGTTTGGATATCAATTACTTATATTTGAAGAAATCATTTTTTTTGGAGGTTTTGAAACGGTAAAATGGGTGTGAATTGAGCAATCTGTGATTATGCGAATATGGGTGGGGTATTTTGGTTTCTCATAAAATTTATCTAGTACCTTTCATTTGAAAAAAAAAAAAATTTAAATATTTTATTCGTGTGTAAAATTACTTTTGAGGAGAAAAGATTAAAATTAAATAGATTTAATTATTTCTTTATAGTTATTAAACTAATATCTCTACTTCTTTTCTTTCTTTCTCATTTTTTTTTTCTTTACTATGCATCTAATTTAAAAAAAGTGAGAATCATAGGCTGTGTTTGGTTTGGTTTTATTTTAGAATTATAATTCTAATCAAAAAATTTCAAAACTCATAACTAAACACATAATTCAAAAACATATTAAATTCAATTCAAAAATTATTTTCAAAACTCATAACTAAACACACAGCTTAAAATTCAATTCAAAACTCTTTTCAAAACTCAAAACCAAACTTTTTTCAAAACACTATGTAAAAAAAAATCAAAAAAATATTTTTTTATTTTGTTTTTTAAAATTATGATTTAATTGTGAAGTCGTATTTGGAGTTATGAGTTTTGAGTTGAACTTTGAAAAGAAAAAAAGTGTTTGGTTATGAGTTTTAAATTGTATTTTGAGTTGAGTTTTAAAAAGAAAGAATTTGTTTGGTTATGAGTTTTGAAAATAGTTTTGAATTGTATTTTGAATTATGAATTTTGAGGCGAGTTTTAAAAAGAAAAAATTTGTTTGGTTTTGAATTTTGAAAAAAGTTTTGAATTGTATTTTGGGTTTTGAGTTGTATTTTGAACTTTTTTTGGATTTATTTTTTTAAAATGTTTAAAAATTTATTAATTTTATTTTTTTGGGTAAATATTTTATATTTTAAATATTTATTTATTTATTTTAATGTGAATTGTATTTCATACATTTGAGTGCTGCATTTTTTTGAATATATTTTTTTAATATTAAACATTTAAATAAATTATTTTTATTTTAAATATACAATTTTTATTTTAAATGTTTTATTTTTTTATTTTAAATGTTTTATTTTATTTTATAAATATATTTTTAAATATTTTGTTATGTGTTTAGTTATGTTATGTGTTTGGTTAAGATTTGAATGTGGAGTTTTGAAAGTAAGATGGAGCTCTGAGTCATGTGTTTAGTTATGAATTTTGAAAATAGTTTTTGAATTGAATTTTGAGCTATGTGTCTGGTTACGATTTGAGTGTGGAGTTCTGTTTTGAGTTTAAAATATTAAAAAAATTAAAATATTTACAAATAAAATAAAAATTATATATTTAAAATAAAATAAAATTTTTCTTAAACATTTTTAAATATTTTAAAAAAATAAATCCAAAAAAATTCAAAATACAACTCAAAATTCTTTTCCAAATTCAAAAACTCTTTTCAAAATACTTTTCAATACTCTTTTCAAAATTCATAATCAAACAAATTTTTTCTTTTCAAAACTCAACTCATAACTCCACACTTAAATTGCAACTCTACATTCAAATCATAATTCCAAAACTAAACAAAATGGAGCCATAGTGTTTTGATCATAAAAAAATAAAAATAAAAACAATGAACGAAGAAATGGTGTTAAAGGACTAGCAAAAAAGTGAAATTGTGAGTTTTTTTGTTTGTTTTTTATGTTTTCATTTCATTTTTGAGATCCAGAATCAAATAGTCTGAAATCACACTACCGAACAAAAAATACATATACCCACTGCTAAACAAAAACTGCCAGACAAAAAATACATATCTAATAACTCACTAAACATTATTAATTTCATTTGTCTGGCATTTTTATTTTGTTTTTAATGATTATGTTTTTATTAAAGAGTTTGCATTTTTTTTTTTTTTGGCAATTAACAATCTATTGTCTATAAATATTGTTTTCACTTTTTAACGTGTCAATTTGTTATTAGAAAATCATAAACGGACTCAAAATTAAGTACTAAAAATTGAATGCTGAATTTTTTAAGTAAGAAAGTTGTTCGGTAAAAATTTAAGTGTTGAACTAAAATAGCAATATGGCTAGTAGTGCATTGTTAATGGGTTGTTGCTTCCTGATCATTCAGTACATCCGAAAGCAAGTAATTGGATGATTTTTATCACCCATGTACTAATGGATAGGAGAAAGCATATACTAACCGTATTGATCAATTTCATATGCTTGTTAGTCCTAATGTGGTAATTAGCAAAACTACCAACATAAATGGATTGGGATAATATCTCAATGTGCTTTTATGGATGTTCGTATTGACAAATTTGAATATATTTGTATTGACAAATTTTATGAATGTTTTTATGGATGTTTGTATACTTTATATTTTTATGGATGTTTGATGTTTTAAGAAAAAGTAAATCTGTAAACGTGCGGGTAATAGATGGTTAGACAAATCTAGTTTGTTTGGCAACATGACACCAGAATAATATAAATTGTTTGGCAAACTAAATGTTTTAAGAAAAGTAAATTTGTAAACATACGACAACAGATGGCTGGATAAATACAATTTGTTCAGTAACATAACAACGAAGTAATTCAAAAGGAATAGGTGTAATGAGAAAATTTTGTAAGAGTTTTGAAAATGATTTAATTTAGGATTAGCTTTACTATTATAAAGGGAGTAATGAGGATTTTAATTTTTTTTAATGATATAATAAAAAAAATAAGTATAAAGAGATAAAATTGTGGTGTAATTTCCCTTCGCTTTTACTTTCTCCATTAATAAATTCGAGAATTTGAAGGATTTTTTGTAATCATATGCTGGTCTTATGTTTTGTATTGGACTTGCAATGATATATATATATTTTTTGGAAAGGTTATATTTTATTAATTTTATTATGGGTCTAATATATATTAAGTAGATGCTCAAAACTTTGTTGGCATGGGGGGAGGAGGAAGTACTTAGATTAGTCTGGTTGCTTAGGAGTGCACCAGATATGTGCAATGAAAAACCAGATGTATTGAAATGGACAGCAGAGCCATCTGGATTGTTTAGTGTAGAATCAGCCTATAAATGGAGTGAATCCCTTCTCAGTCCTGTTTTGGCAATGGCAGACTCTATATGGAATAATTTTGCTCCTCCCAAAGTACAATTTTTTGGGTTGGCATGGCTTGGGAAGGTCAAAACTTCCTGTTTTCTTCATGGAATTGGTATACTTGATGGGAGTGTCAATCTTGAATGTGTTTTCTGCCATAATGATGTTGAAACCGTAGAGCATATTCTTCTTGTATGTCCTTTTGTTTGGAGGCTTTGGTCAAACATTGTGAGATGGTGGGGTTTTCAGTGGGTCATGCCAGGTTCTGTAGATGGGCTGCTGCAGTGGTGGTATGGATATAGAATGTCAAAATTGGAGAAGAAAATATGTATAGCGATCCTGGTTTTCACCCGACTCTTGTGATGTTTCGGACTCGGGTTTAGTGTCTTTGTATTGTTGTGTATCTCCTTCTTCCCTTGTATACCTTTGAAATTGGTGTTTGGGTGGTTGTGGGTGTGTTTGGAATATGTGGGTTACTTAGTTTTCAAATCTTGTGTTGCCCAGACTTTTGGTTTTCCTCTCGAGCGGCCATTATTTCGCTCAAGCGGGATATGTCAATTTTGATCCTTCGCTCGAGCGGACTTTCTTGCGCTCGAGTGGGAGTTGCAAACCTTTAGTACTTTGCACATCTGCAAAAGTGCTGGAGAAGTGTTTTTCAAGCACGAGTGGCGTTTCATACGCTCGAGCGGGTGGGCGCTCAAGCGTCCTTTCTTGAGCTCGAATGGTAGGCCTGTCGTCTGCAAAAGTTTTGAAGGTGTGTGTTCTACACTCGAGCAGGCCTTTTCTTGCACTCGAGCGGAACAAAAGTTTGTGTATGACGTTCGAGTGTCAAACTCTCCGCTCGAGCAGACTGCACGTATATCAGATCGCGAAAAACACTTTTTACATCACTTTTTCATATCTTTTCACCCAAAACCCTAAAGGTGAGAGTTTCTCT